AGCAGGAAGCTGGGGCTGCAGCTCTTCAAGAGCTATTGAATACAGCTCAAGATTTCAGGAGTGCCAAGGGAATTAGGATCACAAATGTCTTTGGCTACTCCAGATCAGCTCTTCCTTTTCCATCTGGATCGCGCAAGGGGTGGTCCGTGCACGCAGAACATTACTGTGAGGCATCACTGGTAATCTGTTACCCACAACAGTTTCCTCTGAGAATAGGTGCTGCCCTTGGCACAGCAGCAGCCCTCTATCAGTGGGGAGCAGAGTACTTTTATTTTCAACTGACTACTTGGGCAAGGCATTTGTGGAAAAGGCAGCACAGATCTTTGCTGTCATTTTAATAGTCTGGTGATAACTGAGGATCCATATGGTAGCTGGTTACAATTCCTGTGAGCAAAATCCAGTGGTATCTCAGTGTCTACCTTCCTGCATTCTCTCTGGTAGGCAGCAAGTCTCCAAATGCTTGAAAGCTGTCATTTTACTGGGGAGGGGAAGCAAATTGGTGCTTCTGAGTGATTAGACTGTTCCACAAGAATCCATTCAAATGAAAGGGGTGAACCTAAAAGGCAACGAGGCTGCTGGTCTAGCACCAAGGCTGGCTTTGAAAACCACGCGTTCATCTTGTAATTTCAAGGTGCCTATATCGTCTCTTGGGACCTTGTTTCCATTGTACTCAGGGCTGTGCTTATTCTGGTTCTTGCAACCACCTCCGGGGCTGATTCATCAGCTGATGGAAGCAGTTATTTGAAGATCTGGCCCAGCCGTGTGCAGAGCAGAGCAAGAGAGGATCTATTTTTTGCTCTTTCTGTGTTTTTCCTCCAGGTCTTCCCTGGGAACAGAAGCCAGTTGCTCTCCAGGCTCTATATAATGGCGAGTAATTAGAAATGCCGTGGGGAAAAAAAAAAAAAGGAAAAAGAATTTTCTCTTGGAAAAACATACCATATCCTACTATTTGTTCAGAGTGGAGGAAGTGCATAAGACTGGACGGTTCTTTTGCCCTCTCAGCCATCAGCCTCTGGGCAACTGTGAACAAAATATTTCCCCCTTTGCAGTGTGGGTGATAATACAAAGCTCCTTATCAGAGTGCCTCAAGACTGGCTGTTGAAAAGCAGTAGATCAGAGGCAGAGTTAGTTAAATAGCAGCTGCCAGGCCTTCAAGCAATAGCTTCACAGGCCTTTTATTTCAGGAAGTAATGACTGAAATACTGAGGAGGGCCGTTGCCAGCTAGGTGCCCTGCAGCATGTATCACACCTTCCTAACAATTTTCCTGCCATGAGAAAGAATTGCTTTCAGCCAGTCACCCCCTCCCACCAGCTCTTTACTAAAAGAATGTGCACATGCTGGGTCTATATGGCCATAAAATGGGATTCCCTCATTCCCCTCTTTGTTCTGGGAAAAAACATGGGCTAATCTTGACAATGTAATAGTGCCCAAGCAAGGGCCTTGCCTGGCTGCAGAGCTAAGCTGGGGTGGGAATAGCCCTCCAGCTTCTTTCCGCAGATTGCTTTATGGCACTGAGTTGACATGAGTCTACCCAGCAGCTTCCTCTTGTGTAAACTCTGCCTTGTGCTGGGGTGGGGTACCCTCCATCAAGCAGCTGCTGCTATTGCAACCAGATTCCTCTTCCCGGCAGAAAGCCCCTGTCGTTTATAGAAGGCCCTGACTCGTGTCAGGTGCTTTCCAGATGCCAGAGAAGGCACATCCCTCCAGAGAATTGTTTGCAACACAGACCTGTGTTTACCGCCCTGCGCCAACCCTACCATCAGCTATGCCAAGCAAGCACTATCCTGTGGGCAAAGACAGGCCAGGTTCATCCTGTGAACTTGGCATTGGATTTTTAATTTCCTGCAATTCTGAGCAGTGTTGAAGCATCACACAAACAGCAGCTGCCTGATAGCTATCCATGGGGACTGCTGGGCTAGGCTGTCTGTGCACTGTGAACATGTTAGGTTGGTGTAAGGGAAGAGGGCACCACCTTGGGTATGATAGCTGTACAACTTGTGGACATCGTTTGGAACAAAGATTGCATACTGCTCTTCCCTACGTGGGACAGAGCATGCACGGGTCAATGGGGAGAGAAGATGCTGTGCATAGCTGTGGAGGGGCAGTGGGTGGACATGGACATGGAGAAGAGAGAGGGGCAATCACTTGTGGTCCAGAGGATATCAATGCCTTGCTTTGCTGTGAGGTAGAGGCAAACTAGTGCCTTGGCCTGCAGCCCGTTCACCCTGTCTGCATGGAAGCTCCCGTTTGGACAGCAGACAGAATACAATCTAGCCACAGTACAGGAGATAGTGACAGGATCTGACTCACTCCCCCCACATCAATGTTTCTCTCTCTCAGGTACCAACCCTGCCATGCCTTTCTCTATTCAAGGTCTGGTACTAGGTGCCCCTGAAGCATGCAGCCAGTCCCCTTCTGCACAGCCCAGCCGTGGCCTCCTGCCCTGCGCAGCCCAGCAGCCTCAACCACAGTCACCACAACAGCCACAACCACAGCCCCAAGGACTTCCACCCACAGCCCAGCAGCAGCCAGCCATGGGTAACCACATGATATCGCAGGTGAGTTGCTGCACAGTGTCCAGGCCTCAGTCAGCTCCTCAGGCACAGAGGTGGGAGGCAGAACAGAGACCCACCATACACTCAGGGTGCCCTAGACTCACCCTTGCCCTGTGGGATTTGGGTGGTCTCACGCTTGCCACCTGTTAGAGAGTGACAGTCCCTCTGTGCTATTGGCAGAGCAGGAGAAGGTCAAGGGGCCTTGCTGTGTCTGAATGTGATGCTGCACGACATCTCAGCTCACCAGCCTCTTCCATATCTGCTCGGGCCTACAGCCCTCCTGGCAAGGGATCTGTAGCACTTTGGTGAGTGGCAGAGTTACCCTCTGCCTTCCAGCTGCCTTCCTGGTGAGGGACTGTCACAAATGATAGTTGAATTTGAATTCCCCAGTGCTGAAATCCCATGGCTGGTCACCTGATGTTCTGGGTAAAGGTAGGCCTGGGGCTGGGTCCTGGTGTATTCTCCAGACTCTCCCCAAGTTAAACCCAAATGATGTTTCACAGCCCGGCAAGGCTATTTCTGAGGATGGAGCCCTTTGGAAGGACGTTTTTCTGTTCCTGAGCCAGCATAACAGCTGACCCTGCGTCTCTGCAGGACCGAAGAAGTGGTGGGAGCTAGCCCTAGTGGACACATTTGGAGAGCAAAGCTGCCCCATGTTCAGTGGGTGCAGAGCTGTTTGGTATGCATGGGAAGGGACTTCAGTATCCTCCCATCCTGCCCTTACCAGAGCAGGGTGTCTGTGCCAGACCACAGCCTGCTCATGAGTTTTATAGGGATCCTTTCTGGTGCATCGTCCCATACTTATGCAGTGAACTGCAGGAGTTTTCCATGAGTTGAGGTAGGAGGAGAAAACAAGCCTCCTCAAGTGGCTTTTACTGCAGATAATGTGAGCAGATCTGTGTTCCTCCATATCCTTGCTATCTGTCACCATTTGTATGAGGATGGAGGGAACTTGTAGTTCTTGGGCTCTAGACTGACTCCAGAGCTTCATGATTACTCTTTGCTTCCCAGGAATGTGGGTGTGTCTGCAGAAGATACTGAGACTCAAGGGAAACAGCTCAGTTTGAGGTGTCTCCTGAGGGAGTCAGGGTCTCGTGCTAAAGGTGGCAGGGGTGTCTGTCTGGAGTTGTAGCATGGCATGGGACTGAGCACAGTGCCCTGGGTGGGCGGTGATGAACACATGGCAGGTTTCTGAAACTTCTCCCCTTTTCCTGGCTGAAGTGAGTGTTCTCAACAGCAGAGGTGAGTCTGCCCTGCTGAAATGGGTGTAGCAGAGTTCAGAGACTTTGGCATCAGAGCTGTGCAGCATCTCTGTGCCTTACTGGCGTTTTGTTTTGCATCTTTGCTGTTTGACTCTTCTCCTAATGGTTTAGCTCCTGAAAAAACTGTTCTTGTTCATTCGGTTGTTGGTGAAAGGTCTGAAAATGCAATGTCTCCCATGTGCATGCACCTTCTGTCCCACCAAAGGACAAATCAGATGAACAGAAGGAAGCCAATGCTGCCCATTGATTACAAGTGGAGTGCCCAAAGCACTGTCTGTGGTGCTCAAGTTAGGTGTTGTCATAAGCAGGCATCAGCATCCTGTCCCCCAGGAGACAAAAGAGGGGGCCCGTATGGGAGGGTGAGACTGAAGAGAGTCAGTTTTACCAACAGGGAAGGCCAAGAAGCACTGCAGAGAGAGCTGGGAGTTAGGGCCACACACAAGTGGATGGTGAAGAGGGAGAGACACAAAGGTTGTGCTGGGAGGAAGCGGCTCTCCTGGTGCTCTTAGCAGTAGCTGACCTTTGTGAACTTGTGTGACTGTTCATGCAAGGCAAGAGCTGCTTTGCAGACATGGTCAGCCTTCCCAGCTTCCACAAAGCAACTGGCCGGGCTGTATGTCTTCCTCCATAGAGAGATGAATGCTCGCCTGCTCTGGTCTCTGTGCTTTCCACCCCTCTGCAATGCCTCCCCTCTGTGTGTGTTTGCAACTGGCTCAGTTGACTAACCTGATTGTTCCTTCTTTCTCTCCTTCCTCCTATCCTATCCTTCCTTCCTTCCCCCACACCTTTTCCCACCCAAATCTCTCTCCTTTGCTCCCTTCTCTGCTGGTCTCAGCCGGTCCCAGCGCTGCAGCCTGTTCAGTATTCTCCAAGCTCCTGCCCCCAAGTCCTCTTGCCAGTCTCTCCACCCCAGCAGTACAACATGGTATAAACCCCATTTCCTCTTCTGCACTGTCTCTGTTGTACTTATGTGATGTGTTTGTGTTGTATGAGCTTTTACTAATCAGGTATGTTGTGGACACTGCACCCAATGGGTTCGGGATTTGGGGAGGCCCTGCGCTGCAGCGGGGCCGAGGCCATGGGACACCCGAGGCTGTGGGAACTGCCAGTGCTGGCCACTGCTGGAGCGGCTGGTCTTGAACAGGGGTGAGGGAAACGCAAGCGCAAAGCCCAGAGCCGCACCAGGAAGAGAGCTACCTGTGCCCAGCACCGGGGTCCCAGAGGGCTGCATGAGCCCCTGCACCACCCCCGCCATGGAGCATGAACCAACGTGAGAGTGAGCGGAGTGCAGGCAGCGCTGTGAGCCCGTGGCCCCGGGGGTGCTGCCGTCAGGTCCTGTCCCGCAGCCCCTGGGGGCCCGGGCCACTGGGCTGGGGGCACCACAGGGGCAACGCACAATGCAGGTGTTCCCCAAGCACTTGGGCTCCCCTAGCAGCCTGCACGCCTCCACCCCCCTCCTGGGCTGTGGCTCGTTTCTGGGACTTTTCTGGAGCCCCTCCAAGCAGAGCAGACCCCTCCACTGGGTAGAGCCACGTCCTGCCTGCTTTCCTCCTCCATCCCTCCCACTTATCCCCAATGCAGGGTGACGAACTCAGCAACCCCTTTGGGCAGATCAGCCTCAGCCGGCAAGGCTCTGCGGAAGCACCGGATCCTTCCTCAGCCATGTTCCAGTCATCCCTCATCTCCCAGCATCCTCAGCAGACAGGATTCATCATGACATCCCCTGGGCAGCCCATTCCCACCTCCAACTACTCCGCCTCAGGGCACACGGCCCCCACGCAGCAGGTGCTGCAGCCCCAGAGCTACATTCAGCCTCCCCAGCAAGTAAGGACATGTGCAAACCTGGGGTGGGGGGAGGGGGGGATGTGCACCTCTGCCTAAATCTGCCAGGGCAAGGAGTTGCTGGGGAGCAGCCCAGAGAACAGCTCCAGCTCCTTGAGAGTGGGTGCCCTCTTCTTCTGCTGCTCATTTGTAATAGATCAATGCACATAGGTCAGAGCACCAGGTCAGCTCCCTACCCCGTGCTAGGCACAGGACAATTTCTGTCCCCTTGTCGCTCTGAGCTCACAGGGTGCTTATCTGCTAGGGGAGGGACAGTGATCATCTGAGCCCAGATTCAGGACTGACACCTCTAAGCTCTCTTGGGGTCCTGGAGGGCATTATGACCCCTAGGACTGGTCTCTGAGAATTGTAGCTTCCCTGCTCTTGCACTGCTGTGCTGGGAAAGCCTTGGATGCGCAGGCTGGGAGGAGTGGGCAGGGGCTGCAGTTCCCTGAGGAGCTGTCATCTGGCCAGAGCCAAAGCCCTGGTTGGTTTCCTTCAGCAGAAACCAGGCAAGGCAAGAGAGAAGGGGGACTAGCTGTCTTGGTCCCACTCCCTCTTGTGTTCTCACCATGTGTTTTCTTGATTCTGATAGATTCAGGTTTCTTACTACCCTCCCGGGCAGTACCCGAACTCCAGCCAGCAATACCGATCTCTCAGTCACCCAGTGGCCTACAGCTCCCAGCGCACTCAACAGCTCCCCCAGCAGTCCCAGCAGCCTGGTAAGGGGGAGTAGAGGGGGGTGGACACGTTTCCCTTCACTGCAGCCCTGTTGGCTCTTAAGGATCTCCCATGTACTGTCTGGGGTGGGACTGCTCTTTCCTGCCCTAAGATGCCATTCCCCCACTCTGCTGGACTTGCTGACTATAGAGTACCTCTGGACCGTGCAAAGGAAAGTTGAAAACGGACCTGGCTGCTAAACCTCTTTTAGTCTCTTCCTTCTGTCTCAGCAAGCAGATGGGCATCAAAATGCAGCATGCCTTGAGTTGCTGTAAGGTGAATTTAAAGCTAGGAGCTTTCTTCAGGTCTTTGCACATCTCTGTGAAGAAGGAAGCCCATTCTTCACTGTTTTAGCAAGAGATGGAGGCAAAGCAGAACTTGACTAGTTATATGTCAAGTCCCTGGCTACCTCCTGTGGCCAGCTGGGAAGCTGCTCCATTTGAACCCTATTCTGACAGGTTTACAGCCGATGATGTCCAACCAGCAGCAAACATACCAAGGTGTAATGGGAGTGCAGCAGGCACAGCCCCCTGGCCTCCTCAACAGCCAGAGGAACAGCATGGGGGGTCAGATGCAGAGTATGATGGGAGTGCAGCAGGCGCAGCCCCCCGGCCTCCTCAGCAGCCAGAGGAGCAGTATGGGGAGCCAGATGCAAGGCCTGATGGTCCAGTACACTCCACTGCCTTCGTACCAGGTAGGCATCGGCTGTGCTCAGGTGAGGGGATGCTGGGGAGAGGCCTCAGCGCTGCAGGCCTCACAGGAAGCACCTTGCTGCTGTGGGTGAGTGATGGAGCGAAAGACCCAGACCCATACACTTTGACAAGGTCACGTATGCTTGCCCACTGGGGGTGCATGTCCGTGTTTGAGCCAGTGTGGGGCATCTCTTGAGAAGGAGATCTGAGTGTGGCTGTTCCCTTGGCCTTAGTGTTCCCAGAAAAGCTGGCAGGGGCTGCCCTTCCCTGGACAAGATTGCTTCAGGCTGCAGTAGACAACAACCTGGCATGTCTTCTACCCTGTCTGGACCTTGGTGGCTCCTCTTTGGGGCCATTTCTCCCTGCTTCTGCTCTCTCTTGCCTGTCATTTCACAGTGCTGCACCTCTCTTCCCCATGCAGGTCCCCATGGCCAATGAGTCCCAGAATGTGGTCCAGCAGCCCTTCCAGCAGCCGGTGCTTGTACCAGCCAGCCAGTCTGTTCAGGGGGGGCTTCAGACTGGAGGGGTTCCCATCTACTACAGCGTCATCCCAGCTGCCCAGCAGAACGGCACCAGGTAAAGCTTCTGTGTTGCTGGCCTGCCTGGGGGAGAGTGGGCCCTGCTGCCCTACCGAAAGGGCATCACATCCTGTTCCTGCAGCTTGAGGAGATGGCTGGGCACCACAGACACTTGTCGTCTCTTGAGCTTGCCCAGTCCAAGCCCCCATAGCCGGCACTTCCTGGCCACAGCTGCCCAGCAGCATGCAGTGCTTTCTGTGCTCCTCCCAGAGGCAGCTGTGTTTCCAGCCATCTCATGTGCTGAGGGAGCCGGTGGCTGCCGGTGCAGGCAGGCAGACTGCTTCTCTCCCATCCCCAGCACCTCACCAGAGCACTCTTTGCTTCGCAGCCCTTCGGTGGGGTTTCTTCAGCCACCTGGCTCTGAACAGTATCAGATGCCACAATCACCCTCACCCTGTAGTCCACCACAGATGCAGCAGCAGTATTCAGGTAAGAGGGGCCGCTGGTCAGTGTTGACATTGATTCTGCACAGATTGGATTGGGTTTTGGAAGGGGTGGGGGGCTGCAGTGAACAGAGCAGCCAATTCACAGCTAAGTCTGGCAGCTTCTGTCCAGGGAGTTTCCTTAGTCTGACCCATCCCACAGTCCCCTGCGAGTGAGCAGCATGTGGCACAGGGACTTTGCTGTGGACCGATGCTGGCCTGTGCCTGTATCTCCTTGCCATGGCCAGCAGGCAAGGTTGGAGTGGGCACAAGGAGCTGCTGTGGGCTGTGGACTCCCTCTGCTGGCAACGTGGCTTAGTGTCACTAGGGCAGCTCATGAGAGCGGAGGGAGCGCTGTGGATGAGAGGAACAGCCCAGAAGGCAGGATTCCTGTGTCCTGTCCCCTGTGCAGGCTTGTGAGTCAGGGCCTGGTGAATTAGTGCAAGAGCTGGAGCTGCAAACCAAGAAACTGGGGGCTCTATGCCCAGTCTGTGATAAGACCCTTTGCCTAAGGATTTGGTGTGATGCTCAGAGAGGTGACCAGAGTTGCTTTCAACTTGTTCCCTCTGCTTGCATTTTTTCTGGATTAAAAGTCATCATTCCCTGATGTAAGCTGTAGTATCAGAGAGGGTTCTCTTTCTGCAGGGCCTTGGTAGAGCCTCTCTTCACCCCACCTGAGTACTCTTCTTCCACAGCAAGCAGCAGCAGTAGTACACAGAGCCTGGGCATTACTGTTGCTGTTCTCTCCCCCCAGGGGTGTCTCCATCAGGCCCTGGTGTGGTTGTGATGCAGCTGAATGTACCCAATGGCCCCCAGCCCCCCCAGAACCCCCCCGTGGTGCAGTGGAGCCACTGTAAGTACTACAGCCTGGACCAGCGGGGGCAGAAGCCAGGAGACCTGTACAACCCAGACACCAGTGCTCAGGTATTGAGAGGACTGGGAAGAAGGCAGCTCATCTTTTAGGAGCAGCCTGGTGGGAGAAAGAGGTCCCCCGCATCCACACTGTCTGGATGGGCTGGGAGAAGGGGGTGGGCTCAACCCATGGTGGTGAGACAGGCATGGGGCCGGTAACAAGCACTGGGGGTGTCTAACCCTCTCCCTCCCCCAGGCCAGCGCCCAGTTGAACAGCCCCATCACGTCCCCCACCCAATCCCCGACGCCGTCTCCTGTCACCAGCCTCAACAGTGTCTGCACAGGGCTGAGCCCCCTCCCGGTCCTCACACAGTTCCCCCGGCCCATGGGCCCGGCACAAGGTAAGGGGAAGGCGTGGGAACAGCACAGGGCTGGGTCTTTCCTGTGGCTCCCTTAGCCCCCTACAAATGTTTGCTTCTATTTTGCAGGTGATGGGCGCTACTCGTTGCTGGGCCAGCCGCTGCAATATAATCTGTCTATCTGTCCCCCGCCCCTGCTCCACAACCAGCCTAACTACAGTGCACACCAGGTAAGGTTGGGCCAGACCCCCACCCCTCTCTTCCTGTCCTGGGAGCAGACCAAGACCCCCAGAGCACCCCTCTCTGGGCAGAGCCCAGGGCTGAGCAGGGTAGTTCAGAAGTGAGCCTGACATCCCACCTTGCGCTCGGGTGCCCCTGGATTGGGTAGCAGGTTGCCTGCCCCATGCTGTTACCAGCCATACAGCAGGGCTGCCATCATAAACAGTTTTCCCTGGAGCCTGACACTGTGCTGAAATTTCACCCTGCTCCCAGCTTTGCCCAGGAGCGATGTCAGCCCCAGGTCCTTTGAGTGTCCTGGAACCATGCCTGTGCCCTGGTCTCATCCAACCTCCCCAAGCCACCATGGCATCATCCCAAAAGTGCCGGGAGTGCAAGGATCATCCAATGTCTCCATTCCCCTTCACAGCTGTGGCCTCATCATGTTTGGTCTTGTCTGCCCCTCCCAGGATGCTCTGTCGGCACTGTGACGCCACAGTGTCCCCTCAGGTGACATGTTACCATTTTTACTCTTTAAGGGACAGACTGGAATGAAACATGGAAATCGGGGCAAGAGACAAGCCCTCAAGTCGGCATCCACTGATCTTGGGACAAGTGATGTAGGCAAGTGATCCTCCTCCAGCAGCTCCCCCATTGCCCTCCGCCAAGTCCCTGCTGCACAGGTGCAGCTGGCACTGGCAGAGACTCCGGTCCCCTCTCTGCTCACACTGACATCCCCCAGGATCCATTGCTGGGGGTGGTTGTGGAGGACCGTTCCTGCCCTCTGCCCCGCTCCCCCGAAATACCCCCGGAGCCCATGCAAGGCCTGGCTGGGGGGGTGGGCGCAGAGCCAGTCCTGGTGAGCTGTACCCCGTGGGAGGGCAGCTGAGGAACCCGGTTAGATGCTGCCTGCACTGACCAAAGCTTTTGAGGAAGAGTGGGGAGATATTTCTGGGGAGTCAGTGATGAGCACCAGGACACCTGGGCCCTATTCCTACCTCTGTGAGGCCTGAAGTCTGGCAGGGTGTGGAGCAGGTGGGGCTGGCAGGCAGAACTCCTGGCAGCTTTTCCTAGTTGTCAGCAGAAAGCGACTGTCCAGGCCCATGAGATCTTATTCCTACCGTTGACTTCCTAAGTGACCCTTCTCTTTCATGCCTCAGTTTCCCAGTGGGGGTAGGTGTTGCACAGTCCCCATATTTGTGGGGCTTTGGGATCTTCCATGGGCAGCTGCCGGGCTGAAATCCCCAGTGGATTGTTTCTCTCCAAGGAGGAAGGACTCCCCCTGTTCCTCTCCTCAGGGCAGGAGTCTCCTCTTGCTCGTGTCAGGGAGGGGAGGAGAGGCACAGGACTGGCTATTCCCCGCAGCAAATGCAGGACCCGCTAATTGGGCATGAGCCCGACAGGCTGGAAGAGAGACAGTCTTCCTTGGCTCTCTGGAGGCTTCAGAGTTGTTGTCTCCCATGTCACCTCTGTGTCACCACCACCAACGGCAGCTGTTTGCAGGGGGCCCTTTAAGAGTTGCTTCCCGGCGAGCTGCCCCCCCCCCTGCCACAGGGAAGCAGCTGGCATGTTTGTTACATGCCGTGTTAATATTAGCAAAGAATCCGTTTAGCCAGGCCTCTGCTAAGCCCCAAAGCTGGAGTGAAGCCCCAAAGAGCTGGAGCCAGGAGGCAGCAGGGGTGTTTGGGTACCACAGAGCAGAGGCACAGAGGTTGACGTGACACTGGCCTGGGCGCAGGAAGGGATCCTCCTCGTGACAAAGCACACAGGGAAAGGTCACATTCAGCGTGCAACTGCCATCCCTGGGGTAGCCTGCCTGGGGGCAGAGGGCAGCAGTGCTGGGTTAGGTCCCCTCCTGGTACCCAGGATTAGGATAAGAAAGCAGGAGAGAGCACCCGGGAAAGCCCTAACTGGAAAGCCAAGCCCAATCAAAGGGATCAAGGAGGGCTTGGTGCTGCTAGAGCCTTGGGCAAACAGAAAATATCTGTCTCCTCTTGAAGCGGGGCACATGGGGACCAGGGTGGGAGTATCAGAAATGATTGGGACAGGCACTGTAGGGACCAGGAAGATGGGGGCAGTTTGAAGGGGAAGAAGTGACTAATTAGAAGAAATATCCCTGATGTGGGACCAGCTTAGCAAAGCTCTGCTTTCATGGGCCAAGTAGAGATGACTGCTCCCATCCCAGAGCTGGTGAGGAAACCGGACATCAGCTCCCACCATGCTGTCACCACCCGAGGTCCTGTGGCCAACACATGCTATCTTTCCACTGCAGTTCTTGGCCGAGTGCTGGAGGTGACGGACCTGCCCGAGGGCATCACGCGGACAGAGGCTGACAAGCTCTTTACCCAGCTCGCCATGGCTGGTGCCAAAATCCAGTGGCTCAAAGAGACTCAGGGGCGGCGTGGAGATGGGGGCGGTGGGGACAACAACGGGACTCCAGAGAACGGCAGGCACACTGACCTTGCTGCCTTATACACCATTGTGGCCGTGTTCCCCAGCCCGCTGGCCGCCCAGAACGCCTCCCTCCGCCTCAACAACTCCCTCAGCCGCTTCAAGCTGCGTGTGGCCAAAAAGAACTACGACTTGCGGGTGCTGGAGCGTGCCAGCTCGCAGTAGGGCTCATGTATGGGCACAGAGCACACTGGACTGCGGGCGCTTCCCTCTGCCTTCTCTCTTCCTTTCTGCCCTCCCTTCCTCTCACCCTCCTTCCTGGATATATTTATATGGACATAATTAAGAGACAAGAAATTGATTTTTTTTTTTAATTTTTGGAGTGATGCCCATGCCCGCCCACCCTACCCTGTGTATATTGTTTTGTTAAGCACTGTGTTGAACCGCACATACAGGTGTTGATTGGTATGTTCACTGCACATTTTATTTAATCTGATTATTATTTGGGGTTTTTTTTTTGTTTTTGTTTTATTTGAGGGGGGGGTGTTTTTAAATATAAAAAGAAAACTTGTCCGTCACTTTAATGCTGCTTTCCCGTTCTCTGCTGGCGCCAGCGCTCGGTGCAGGCTGGCAGCAGGGCCTGTCCTGTCCCCTTCCTCAGGGTGAGATGGCAGTCAGGGCATACACAGGAGTGCGTCCCGGCACGGGGCCTGCTCCACCCCAGCATACGCAGAGGGTGCGTCCTCGTTGCTCTGCGGAGGCTGGGAGAGGAGCACGGAGCATTTTGAGCTGGGGCTGGTCACCCTTCAGATGTTCATAGCCTCTTCTTCCCAGCTGCCGGCCCCGGGCTGCCTGCGATGGCAAGGAGGGTATGCCCCCAGCTACGTTCCCTGCCAGGGTGAACACATTTCTCCTGGGTGAAGGGGAGCTGCCCTTGAGCTGCTAGGTGTCCTCCTACCGCAGGGGTACAGGAGTTGGGCTGGCACCAGCCTCGCCATGGCGTTGCATGCGGCAGCCCTTGGAGCTTCCTGCGGTGTCCAGAGCCAACCTTGGAGCATGGGTGCAGGGGGAGAGGTAAGAGCTGCTTGGAGGGTGTGGGGGGCCTTGGTGCAAACCCTGCCCCTCTGCCACCCACAGCCAGGCAGGGACATAGCTCCAGGGGCTCTGGCACTGGGGGCCCACCCAGCTCCTGGGATCCAGCCCCTGCTGCGGGGCAGCACAGTAGGGGTCGGGTCCCCAGCTCGCTCCTCAGTGGCTGCTTCCTGTGGGGCAGCGGTGAGCGTTGAGCTGGTGAGCGTTGAGCGCGGGACCCTTGGCGGCACCTCTTCCTTCCCGCCTGCAGTGGCCTCCAATGCGAGGGCAAACAGGACAGCAAGGCTGGAGCGCTCAGCATGCCCCCGCGCTGCTGCTGCCCCATGCCAGGGGTGGGAGGGTCGCTGTGACGCCCAGCAACCCACTAACGCAAATAGCCAGCAGCTCCTCTCCACCCCGCTCCCCTCCCGGCTCGCGCACGGGCTCCAATTTCTCGGTGTCAGCCTCCGCCAGCGCTCAGCTGTTGGTTCCCCTCTGGCCTGTCACTCGGGTGCTCC